TTAACTATTTAAATAAGAGTTAATAACAAGCAAGCATAATCTAGTAAACACGAAGCTAGTTTAAACGCTAATAATTAGTATTGGGCTTGCCTGTACTGGTACAAAGATCAACCGAAGATCAGTACCTGACGCCTAAACCGTGTCGTGCAGCGCAAGTCTGAAGATGTCATGCTGCACGTAAAAGCTGGTGCCAATTGGTTTCAGGACAAATGTCTGGATGTATGCATGGGGCTGATCCTCATCAGTCTGCCCAATCATCAACAATCACTGACTGAATTTTCTTATTTCATCTTCTTTGCGGAGGTAGGTATATAGAGAGATTGTTGCTGGACATTAGTCATAGCTCAATCTCTATCTTCATATGGCAGCACAAAAAATGTAAGGCAGTACAGTACACATTTGTGTAGCATGTCCAGCCAATAGAATATAATGTATGAACCAACAAAAAGTATTTAAGAAACAGATATCAAAACTGAAATATTTTCTTTACTTAGGAAAGTACATTGGTACTAAATATGAAATGAAGACAGCAATAAGAAATTAAATTACTGAACCAATTGGAATAAGAATTTTGCACATCATGAATGTTAAAGTACTACATACGTTACAAACTTTTTTCCATGTACATATAAATTTATATGATCACACAGATTCTTGCAATTGATGATTATATGTAACTTGCAACACCCAGTAGATCAACATAAATTAACTTCTAAGTAATTCTGTAGTTCCTATCCTCTAAATAAATTCGAATAATGTATAAAGAAGTATCAGTTATACGAATTAAATGACTCCATAGCGTAAGAAATACTGTACAAATAATTTCTTTTGGGTATTTGCACGTAAACATCCTTATTTGTTCTTACTAATCGTATTGGAATTATGGTACAGTAAAGAATATTTTTCTTACCTGCAACCTTCCTAAAACATTAATGAGTACACCACCATCGAACATTGGTTGCGAATCAATGGCAGTAATTATCCGATTAATTTTTTGAAACGATAAACTCTGGAAGTAAGGGATTCCTGATTACTATCAAAGAAAGATACAATAATACCTATTCTGATTGCAAGACTATATTTTATCGTGTACCTTATAAACGAATAATAAAGTTTTACTTGATGAATTGTAACACTCACATTTAACTTTTCCATGATTTTCAAAGCACCCTGTATTTGCAAACCTTCAAACGTCATGAAGGACGACTCAGTCTGCAGGAAAGATCGTATAAATATGAAAAAATGAACTGATCAGACAGTAGAGAAAAATGTTAATAATCAATACTTACATTATACATATTTATTAAATTTGGTCTTTGTGCGGGATCGTCAAACAGTGCATAATACTGTTGTACAAAACCCTTCCCGATAACTTCATATTGGGGGTTCAATGCCATTATGCTAACTTGTTATATTCACGTATTGTATTCTATACCGACACTATCAGTCTTTTCAAGTAATTTGATCGTTCGGTACTTTTATCTTTTATAAAAATTCTACAATAAGTGTACTATAATGCCTATTAACATCCCTCGTGCAAGATATGAGCGAGCAGGAAGCTACTTATGCCGACCAATCATTTCGATGTATCGAGAAAACCATCCGAATTATTCTCGAACTCTCGAAAAGTTTAGATATTTGGCAACATTTGTACTGTGTTTCTACATAAATAAACCTACTGCACCCTCGCCGATTCAACAATTAATTTAATATTTAAGGTTAATTGTCCATTAAAAAAATTATACGATTCGTTTACACGTAAATATGTAAAAACTTTCTACCTCCCATCGATAAGCAACACCAATTTCAACAAAACCCTCTATCAGGAAATAATTTGCGAACGTCATTTAAACCGTGACTACAGAGGACTCTGTGCTTTACTCATATACACATGAGTTCATATATCTTTATTGGTTAATGATTATCTATGACTATTCAACATCATGAAAGACCGCATGTTCTCTAATGATTTTTACACGAATAAAAATCAGGAAAAACCACACCGAATATAATATGTATAAAATTAATCATTTTTTGATCATTCGATAATCACAGTTATGTATTCTCAATTATTAATAAATTGATTAATTACAGTATTGTATAAACATTACTGAACCTTCTACTACCCACATGTTTTAGTATTCGAACGTTTCCTTATTCGCGCTCTAAATACTATTTAAGCCTACGAACAGCAAGTTCATAAATCATCGTAAAAAAATCAAATTATACATTGAAAATATATTTAATTTGAAATATAAAATGTAACATCGTAGTAAAATGGAATGATGAAAGAACGATGTAAATAATTAATCGGTTATTATGTACAAGAATGAAATAACTATTAAAGATCGAATGAAGTGTAAGAGTCAACGGTCGAAAAATTTAAAAATTCCTGAGAGCACATGAATATTTATGCTTCGAAATAACCTAAATTATTAATTAAAAGGCTTTCTATTTAACCTGTTCCCATAGTAATGGCGTCAAAACGGAAACGTGTAGTGTTAAGTATAAAAACAAAACACGAGATTATTCAAAAATTAGAAAATGGTGAAAGTGCAGCGAAACTAGCGAAAATATATGGTATCGGGAAAGCGACGATTACTGGCATTAAAAATCAAAAAGATGCGATCGAAAATTATTTGCTGCAAGCGGATACTTTTGACGTTCCTATCAATAGAAAAAGTATGATGGTACCAAAGTATAAAAACGTAGATGATGCTGTGTTCCAATGGTTTCTACAAAACAGAGAGAAAGGAGTGCCTATATCTGGCCCTATTCTTTGTGAGAAGGCATTGGAATTTAATGAGAAATTAAAAGGGAACCCAAACTTCAAGGCAAGCAGTGGCTGGTTAGAGAAATTTAAGTCACGTCATGGTATTCGAGAATTGAATGTGTCTGGGGAAAAATTGTCAACGGATAATGTTATCGAAGAAAACCTAACAACGGATCTTCACAAGTTTTTAATAGAGAAAGTGTATGCATTGCAAAATATGCATAATGAGAATGAAAGAGATTTAACATGTACAACGTTACAACAAAAGCATTTGACCTCTCAACAGGAAAACTCAGACTGTAGCAGTAAAGTTAACAAAGACCATGTTAATTCGCTGTCATGTGTAAATTCTACTGCATGTCATCAACTTCCACTTTTGATAATCGGAAAAAGGAAAAAAGTTACTTAAAAATATTAACTCTTTGCGGTCAGAATCTTTGCTGGTCATAGACTAGGGTATACCAAATGCAAAATATGCCAGAACTGGGTTAAATTCTTCAGTATAACACATCTTATCTTGTACTGTACATGTACACATATGTATACGTTATAATATTTATTCTCAATGAAGAGAGGAAAGAAATAAGCTGAGCATCTATTATTTATAAGAAATTGGGTAAATAAATTTAAGATTTTAGTAGAATACAATAATTTATTTTAGTAAAATTAATTTTACGGATTTTTTTGCAGAAATAATTAATCAAGTCTACACCTCCTGGCATATGAACAAAAATAATTCTGACCACAACAGGATGCCCATATAAAAATGAGTAACGACCGCAAAGAGTTAATGATTATTGTTAATGCACATTGAAATAGTTCAAGGCATTCTTTATATTGATGGTCGAAGTTATTAATATTATAGAATCTTAAGAAAAGATTCATTGGATGGTTACCATCATCAGAAAACCCTATAACTTTTCTTAGCCTCTTAACACTTCTCAAAGAGCCTGAGAAGTTTTGATTTTACAATATATTATTGTTTATTTATAGTTAAAATATTTACACATTCTATATAGTTAAAGGATTGTATAAATGATCCCTATTAGTGTATTAAACTGCAGTCTTAATACATACATTGTCCTTTTTAATTATTTTACATAAATGTTTATATTCTGAACTGGTAAATAATATAAAGAAATAAACACTATTTAAACAAAGTTCCCATATTGTTTCCCTCTTTTGTACATTTCTAATATTATAAGATTAATGTTGTTTTTGTGTACACAACAAAATATTTCACAAAAATATGGCAACATTTATTTATGGAATAATTTACATTGAAACTTAGATATTCTATACATTATGTACAATCCAATGTGCTCCCTGTGCGTCTATTTAAGAGGAATGTTTCACCTGTTTCATGTTTCGAAATTCACTGTACCTTCCCAATATTATTTACAATTTTGCTGAAAAATTAAAAAATGTAATATTTATTAAAAATAATTATTTCTCTAATTTTATGTGCATCGTAATTGAAATACAATTTATAAATTAAACGTGACTAATTTTAATATAAAAACTTTACATTTGTATGATACATGCAATAATAAATAAATATTTAATTGTTTTAAGCGTGAATGATCTAGCATATTACACGAATACGAGTAGACTACATTTTTTTATATCACATAATATTTAAAATTTTAAAATATTATACAAGTATTACTTGCTCCCGGATAATTAGACTTCTGTTTTTCTGAAAGTGTTTTATCCCTTTCATCCCACAATGTAAGACCATCACAAGCACAAATCTTCTTTGTATTTTGAAATAACCCAGATGAACGAGCAATAATACCACAAGCCAATCTACAGAAACATTTAAGTTTTAAATATCACAAGCTGTTAAAACCGTTATTACTTTATTTGATTAATTATAATGCAAGATCTACCTATTTCCACTATTCCCATTTATTTTGGAATCCGGAGCATTTCCTTTTCCCAGATCATCTGGATTTTCTGTTATAACTAGAGATCGTCCAACTATATCATGTATATTTACCAGTGTGTCTATTTTCCTGAATGTAGCTCTGCCCATTTCATCTGCTATTACATTACCAAGATCTCCTACATGCTGTAATTATAATTCTATAATAGATAAATCTTCAATGGTCAAGCAATATATATATGTCTAATCTCAATATCAAATATAGTCTACAATGTTTACCCTTTTAAGTGGAGTATCTTCAGGTCCACCATGTATTGTATTATTTGGATTAAAATGTTCTCCAACACTATAAATATAATTCATGAAATTCAAGAAATAAAATTGTAATGAAATATGTAATATTCATGTTTATTTACCTTTCACAGCCTTTTGAAATATCACCACATTCGTGTATATGTATTCCATGTTCACCTGGACTTAAACCATCAACTGTTCCATCTATAATACATCCATCCGGAATCTGTACAAATCTTACAACTCCCATTACTTTATTGTTCACGCTATACCCTGAATTTCCTCCTAACATTGCAACAGCACTGACAGAATCTATAATTTTAAAGGTTGTATAGTTTTATGTTACAAAGATCAACAAGTAATAGTACTTTATACAAAAGTAACTTTTTACCTCCATATCCTTTTAATATGGCTTTTCTACCAGATTGTTCTATTTTCTCTTGAATTAGAGAATATGGTAAATTCGTTTGAACAACAACGTTTCCTTTTTCCAACGATATATCAATATTCTCAATTCCGTTTACGTCAATTAAACTGTTCCGCACGGCATCGACGCATTTTTGACAAGTCATGTTCACCGCAAATTCAATCTGAAATTACAGAATATATACGGTAAGACAACTTATGAAAACATTATTTTTCACTCACTTTTATAACTCACTTTTGCTGAAGTCATTATGATATTTTTGCATACACGTTTTTACCGTAAAATAATCAATCGGTGTGCCCGTGTTAACAACCAACGTACGTTTAGTTTAAGGTTATATTTCCTGCAATGTAATAAGTTTGATAAGTGCTGTTTATTTGAGTGAATGTGCGGAGATACGTATAGCAGAAAATAAAAAAAAATCTGATAAATTGCAATGGAATATTTTTTATCGGTTGTATCAGATTGTTTATTGTAATTATTTACTGCAGTATTTTTAATAAATATTTACGTTGAACTTTAAATTCATTTTGAGGTACCATGATCTAGGTATCCTTTCTTCTTATTTTCCACTTTCGATTAAAATACTTTTTCATTGTGTTAACTGCTTTGTGCATTTTCTACAACCGTTTTGTACGATATTAAGAAGTCTTTTAAATTTCGTAGCAAGAATCTGTGTATCGTTGTTTCAAGATTTTGTTCCTATACACGATACGTTTAACGAAGCAGGTACGCAACAATCGCAACGCAAACAATGGTGACATATCCCTCGTGTAATGCTGTGTAATCGTATTTTTGAAACATTCGATTTGAACGTTCAAATAAAATAATCAGAGAAGATTGACAAACACGTAAATAAAAAAATGTTTATCTAAAAAATATTACCTTTTTATCAACAAGGACGAAAAATGAAAGTTACTGTGATTTAGTAAAAACGCAGAAACCTTTAAATAGCAAATTTTGTAATACAATCAATATTGCTTAACGAGGACGTTTTTACAGACAATATTGGTACTGTATAAATATATTTCATGCGTACGTTTTATAAATTTCCATCTTCGGTAATACGGACTAGTAAGTAACGGATTTCGAGTTTTTACCTTCGCGAATATTTTATCATGATAGTTCGCGCGTTTCCCACTCGGCACGCTCTTTTCCCAAGCTTTCTATTTTAGAAATGAACAGCAACCATCTCTTGTTTGTAAAACCAGAAATTTTGCAAAGGAATTTGCTGGTCGTGATTCGCTATATTTAGAAATTTCTTTCGGAAAACACTGCTGGGATCGAGAAATCTATAAACTTTTATGGTTTCGTGTGGCGTGTGTCGCGTTGTTTCTTTTTCGGATGTTGAAACTGTGGTGTAGCAATGTGGATAACCGACACTGTAGCAAAGCCATAAAGTTTCAAATGTATTCAGCAATTTATGAAATGCGATCGACAACTTGCTGATTAACCACGAAAACACCTTAGAGAAAAAGAATTACATATTACGAATATTAAACGATTTACACAATATCTAAAAACATGTCCGTGACCTTTGCTCAACGCGGCAGGCCGCCACCAAATCCTGCTCAGATACAGAAGGTAATAAATATTACAGAATATTATCGACACTAAGCTATTTTATTTGTTCTTGAATTTATTATCAGTGTAAAAAATATGCAAATAATATTTAAAAAAAAAATGTACTTTTAATAGTACTAGTTTAGTTAAAGATGTAGCTGATAGAAATAAACAAAGAAACGTGAGATTTATGTAAATTAATGATTATCTGCAGATGCTTGATGAGAATAGTCAGTTGATACAAACAATACAAGAGTATCAAAACAAAGGAAAGTCACAAGAATGTATACAGTAAGTACAATATGTTTTTAAAGGCAGAAGAGATTAGAAGTATTTATTGTTATAATAAACATGTTTATTATGTAATTTCTGTGTAGATATCAACAGATGTTACATCGTAATTTGGTATATTTGGCATCAATTGCTGATGCCAATCAAAATATACAAGCATTATTACCTGTAAGTAATATTTGTATTCGCAATTCAATAATATCTTAGATGTTAGATTTATAGACAAAGTACTAAGAGTTTATATTTGAAATGTAAGCCTCCACAAGGAATACCCAATGGTCCTCAACATGCCATGATGACACCGCAAGGTCTTCCAAATCCTCCTGCTGGTTCTGGTGGACCTGTAGGAGAGATGCCTCCAAATAGTCAACCTACATTACCAATGTCGAGTTTTAATCAAGGGCAACCGATAACACAAGGTGGATACCGTGGACCTGTTATGCCTGGACAAGGACCCGCAATAAACAGTATATTATTTTTAAACTTATTAAAAATTGATTTTAATATTTCAATACATGGTGCTTATTCTTCAATCCTTTATATTTTATAGGACCACCTACTGCACCTGGACCACAGCAATACAGGGGACCTCAAGGTTACCCTCAACAACCTTCTCAGCAAGGTTATCCTGCTCAATACGCTAATCAAAATCCTGGTTCCAATTATCAAGGTCCTCAAGGATCTGCGTATACTCCAGGACAACCAAATCAATATGGACCACCAAATGCTTCCCAGCAACAAGCATACAGTGCATCATCACAACCAAATTATGGTCCTCCAACTACAGTAAACAGTTATGGTCCACAACCAGGTGGATATCCACCTCCAGGAAGCACTCAGCCTCCCACAGGATATGGTCCACCACCTCCAAATCAACAGGGTTATCCGCCTACTAATCCTTCTCAACAGAACTTCCCATCGAGTGGTCAACAACAACAACCAGGGCAGTATGGTAGTCCTAGCCCACAACCGAATTATCAGCAACCTCCATCTCAGCCACCACCTCAAAATGCATACGGAGGTGCTCAGCCTGGAAGTTATCCTCCTCCTTCTTCTCAAGCATACGCAAATAATGTTCCACCTCAGAATTATCCTGCTCCTCCCACATCCAGCGCTGCTCAACCTCCACAACCTGGATCTCAACAAACTACTGGTCCCCAGCCCAATTATGGTAATCAGCCAAGCCCTGGACCAGGTTCAACACAATACGGACCAGCCTCCACGTCTCCACCATTCAGCACTGCCTCTGCAAGCGGAGTGAACACTTACGCCCAAAGTAGTCAGCCTACAAGTACACCTTCCGCTTCGACTCAAACTTATCCGCCAAGCAGTGGACCACCGCCTACTTCTCAAGGAGCCAGTTACGCTCCCTCTGTTCCTGCTCCGTCCGGGTATCCCGTGCATCAAACACCACATCCAGCGTCGCATCCTCCGCATCAGCCACCGCATCAGTCTCCTCATCAACCTCCACATGCTCCTCATCAGCCACCGCATCAGCCTTCGCACCAGTCGTCTCATCAGCCTCCCGCACATCAGTCTCCACACCAGCCGCAACAGTCTCAGCAACAGTCACAAACACCTCCGCAATCGCAACAGCAGCAGTCTCAGAGTCCTGCACCAAGTGGATTCCAACCACCATCAGGACCTCCGCAAGGCCCTGCTCCACCGCCGGGTCCGCAACCGCAACCTGGTTATGGTCCAGCTACTACACAGACATACGTACCACCAACACCAGGTGGACAGCCACAGGTATTACTTTTTTAAAAATAAATACTGTTTCTAGCACTTTAAAGATTACATAATCAATTTTACACAATACATAGGTATATACACCACATCCGCCACAAGGTGGCCAGCATTATGGACATCCACAGTATCCTCCTCAAAGTTATCCACCTCCACCAGCAGGACAAGGATACCCGCAATATCCACCGCGTCCTCCTGGCGGCCACATGCCTCCACCACCTGGACCACAAGGGCCTCCTCCGCCAAATCAGTATGGTGGTTACGGCTATCAACCACCTCCACAATAGAGTATATTAATGTAAATTCATAGTATTTACACTAATATAAATGTTTTAAATGCAAATTCGGAACAAATGGTACATAAAGTTTTAATTTAATTCTTATTATCATATCGTCCAG